GCGGCAGGTCCTTCCCTCCGAGAGGGACAGGGACCCTCCGCCGAATTGCCGCCGAAGAGCCCGCCGTGCCGGCCCTTTCCCTTGGCCGCCCCAAGCACCTGCTTGCTCAGCTGGTGCCTGGAGCCAGCCCTGACAAATGCTAAAGGTTTTTTAGTTCGTTGGGTTTTTTTTGTGTGTGGTTGAGATGCACGAAATATCTGCCATACATACTGACAAATGGGATTGAATTTGCTAATTTTGGTACTTTCAGATACTTAACACTTAAAAATACATAAGATTAAAATTGTAATTATTTTTCAAAGAAATTATCAGGTGATTATGGATGCCATTTTTGGTAATAATGATATTTCATCACCCATAATTGTAGGCAGAACATCTTGCTAAGTTAGACAACTGCACTGATCAAATTGGTTAAAAATTTAGGATCCAATCCTTTAACCCTTACTCACATAAATAAATGGTCCCATTCACTTTTGTAGGACCACTAGTGTAAGATTATGTCACTCACATAAGCGTTTTTCAAGGTCAAGCTCTTATTTTTTAATTTCATTTTGCGTATATTCTATGTGAGTCAATGGGTATTGCAGTCATATTTTTTCTTCACCACCCCTTCACAGCCAATTAAACGAATGGAGCACTACAAAGAGAGACAGTGCAACACAGACACAGTTCCAGACCAAGGTGGCCAAATGCTTTTACCAAGGGCATCATCAGCTCACTGGCAGTTCTCCCTTTGGACTTTGTCCCAAAACAGAAAATAGAAATTCAAGTACAGTTCTGTGTTCCAGATGAAAGATATAAAGGTGGCAACTAGTCCAGTGTACCAGACGGCATAGTGTACAGTAAACTTCTCACTTAAAGTTGTCCCAGTTAATGTTGTTTCGTTGCTGATCAATTAGAGAACATGCTTGTTTAAAGTTGCGCAATGCTCCCTTATAACGTTGTTTGGGAGCCGCCTGCTTTATCCACTGCTTGCAGAAAGAGCAGCCCATTGGAACTAGCTGGTGGAGACTTGGAACCAGGGTGGACCGGCAGCCCCCCTATCAGCTCCCCTAAGTTCCCTGTGCATAGCCGCCCAGCAGTTCAGCTGTCCCTCTCGCCACTGCCGTGTGCTGCTCCTGCCCTCTGCCTTGGAGCTGCTCCCAGGAGCCTCCTCCTTGCTGTGCAAGGGGGGAGAGAAGAGGGGTGCTAATGGCAGGGTGTCCCCCTTCCCCCCGCTCCTGCTCCCCACTCCTGTACCCTATCTCCAAGAGCAGAGGAGGGACAGGACAGGGCTCAGGATGGAGGGAGCTTGCTGGCAGCAGCTGCTGTCTCAACTTGCTGATCTACTTAAAAAGGCAATATACTTAGAGTGGGGTCAGCGTACTTAAAGGGGCAACACCCATCTCTCTCTCTCTCTCTCTCACACATAAAAGGCGTGTGTCTCTGTCTCTCTCTGCCATGCTGTCTCCCCTCCCTCCATTCGTGCTGCCTTGTAGAGTGTGAGGCTACATTAACAACAATGTGTTAACCCTTGAGGGCTCAGCTGAGTGCTAGTTCATCATTTAGCAGTAAGGCATTCCCTGGGAAATATCCCACCCTCTGACTCCACCACCTCAACCAAGCTTCACAATTATCATTGCTGTGTACAGTATTAAACTGTTTGCTTAAAACTTATACTGTGTATAAGTGTGTATGCAGTGATGAGCTGCCAAAAACTTAACATCCGGTTCCCTTCCTCACCCCACGAGGGGGTCGTGGCCCGCCCCCCAGAACTCCTGCCCCATCCACCCCCCCCACGTTCCTTGATGCCTCCCCCTCTGGGACCCCTGCCCCATCCACCCCCCTTCCCTGTCCCCTGACTGCCCCCCACTGCCCCATCCAACCCCTCCTCTCATTCCTGATGGCCCCCTGGGACTCCTGCCCCATCCAACCACCCCTTCTCTCTGTCCCCTGACTGCCCCTGGAACCCCTGCCCCTGACTGCCTCCTACCACCCCATCCAACCCCTGCTCCTTCCTGACTGCCCCCCCGGGACCCTTGCCCCCATTCAATCCCCCTGTTCCCTGCCCTCTGACCGCCCCGACCCCATCCACCCCCTCGAACTCCCCTGCCCCCATCCAACACCCCCTTCCTGCTCCCTTACCGTGCTGCCTGGAGGTGGCTGGCGGCGCTACAGCCACGCCGCTTGGCTGGAGCCAGACCAGGGCCGGGCCACGCAGCTGAAGTCGGGCTGGGCCAGAGCCGGGCCGCGCGGCTGGAGCCAGGCCGGGCAGCGCCTGGAGCCGGGCCGCGCTTGCTTCTCAGCCCTCCCAGGCTTCCCGCGCGAACAGCTGATTCGCGGGAAGCGGGGGGGATGGGGAGAGAAGCGGGGCGAAGCGTTCAGGGGAGGAGGCGGAGGCGGAGCAGAGGTGAGCTGGGGCCGGGGGTGGGGTGGGGAGCTGCCAGAGCTTTACCGGTTGTTAAATTTAGAAGCCCTTTTAGAACCGGTTGTCCCGTGGGACAACCGGTTCTAAAAGGGCTTCTAAATTTAACAACCGGTTTCCGCGAACTGGTGTGAACAGGCTCCAGCTCACCACTGTGTGTGTGTGTATATATATATATAAAATATAGTCTTGTGTCTGTCGAAAAAACTTTCCCTGGAACCTAACCTTCTCATTTACATTCATTCTTATGGGGAAATTGGATTCCCTTAACATTTCACTTAAAGCAGCATTTTTCAGGAACATAACTGCAATGTTAAGCGAGGAGTAACTGTATATTCTATTTCGGGGAGCTAGAGCAGCAGCTATTGCAGGCTTTAAGCTCAGCAGCAGTCTGGGGACAAGGGGCACACTTTCAGAAGCAAGCTTAATCAATCAATCCATCTGTAGAATACTATATTGCTACCACCTGCAGTTCTGATAGAGTAAGACCTGCAATTATTCCATTCTAATCTTTGACCTTACCACCCACCTCAATTACACTCACTCTAGCAATGGGTTACTGCTGATGCTAGGTGAGAGCATTAATGTAGTGCACAGTACCCTCTTTGGAAATATCAGCTCTGAAATGCTCTCAACTGATGTCACCCTTGAGCAGCACAAATCCTAAAACTGCTAATGAGTTCATATATACTGTCCTAGACATGTAAGAAGGAAGACATGATTTAATTAGGCTGCAACTTTATTAGCTTCTCATCTGGGAACTAGTGCAGGTCAGGATTCCTTCCTTAATCATTTCCAACTGGTGGAGGATAGCCAGCAACCTTTCTCCACTTCATAGCTGGTCCCCAGCCCTTTACTGGGACCCCAGAACCCTCCCTTCATATGAGAGTTAGGGAGCTGGGGAAAGCGGGTTATCTCCTCACTGTACCAGACATTAGGAGCCCCAATACCACTCCCAGCTTCTTTAGGGCATGCCCCTCCCTTAAATCCACTTCTGGTTTATCGGTGAACTGGACCCCCTCTGGAACAAGTATATGCACTGGATACCTGCCACCCGTTAAACTGCAAACTGAACTGTATCTCCTCACCAATCCACCAGGTCCCTACTGTGGGGAAGGCAAAAAAACCCAACTCACCGAAACTGGCAGTGAGGGGAAAAATCCTTTCCAGTTTCCAAAAAGGTGACTAGTATAATGCCCACAGAACACCAAAAAGCTCAGTCCTACACTAATGCCAGCGATGGGAGAGACTGAGTTGCTAATCCAGAGGGGGCTCAGGCTGGAGGGACAGGGTTTATATGTATCCTCCCCCTGGTAAACCAATGGTTACCTCAGCCCTACTGGCCCATCCAGATGATGCATTTCCCCACCTCTCAGGCACCCCCTCTCTTCCCCCCCCCCAGCTCCAACCCCTACAAGTGGGGTCCATAAAAGAGACAATACCCTGTTAAACCCCACCAACCCAGATAAAGACCTCTCACATTTCAGCTTGTCAAGAGTTACACTCTGTGCAAAGGAGGCTGGTGAGCTCTGAAATTTGGCAGATGAAATGGATATGTAAAGATGTCCTCAGTGCTGGTTTACAGCAATGAGTACTAGTATATTTTAAATATCTCTACCAATTTACTAACAAGCACCTTTGAAAATAAAAGCTTAAAGATTTTTTCAAAACCAGATGAGTTTCCACTATTAATGTTGCTTGTTTATATTTCTCTGCTTTGCCGATGAAGAGTTTCTTTCACTTTTAAGTTCTCTGTGCTGTAGTGACTGGACTACAAATATAATGATAATTTCTTTGTTGAAAAATCTTTTGGGAAATTTTTAATAACTTTTATGGTTCGTTTTTTTTTAAAACACAACACAGAAAGAAATAAAATAGGTATTGCACTTCTAATATATGTATGTAGACCAACAGACATTTGGACCAAAATTTTCAAACTTGGGTGCCTTAAAAGTTAAGCACCTGAATAAAAATGGACTGATTTTCAGAAGTGCTGGACACCTGCAACCGCCAACGAAGTCTGTGGGAGCTGTGTGTTCAGCACCTCCAAAAATCAGGCCACATTTTAAGGTGCTTAAACATGCCTAACTTTAAGCAGCTGAGTTTGAAAAATTTGGATTTAGAATTTAAGCAATCCGTTTTCATTTTCTATAGCAAGTAATAAACAATTTAAAGAGACAAATTTAATATACAATATGTTGTGTGGAGAACCTTCATTTGTACTATGAAAAAGAATCCAGGAAACTTGGTTTTACTTTTGGTAAAAGTTTGTTTTCACAAAATCTAAATTGTGGGGCAAATTTGACTAGACTGTGTCACTTTGCTTAACCAGTAGGAACAATTCTCAAAGCATCAACTAAATGATGCAGCCTGGAGCTCGCTCAGGAGATCACTTTCACATTATGGACTGTTTTCAGGTTTACTGTACTCTAGTTCTCATCTACCACCGAACTGATTTAGATATTGCCATGATCATAGCTGATTTCAACTGCAGCCCTCAAGAGAAATAAAGGCTGATTTTAATTTTTATGTGAATCTATCTTAGGAAAAGGTGTAACACATCATTTATAAAAACCTAAAATAGATCTATAATTACCTGGGAAGACCCATGGGGAGATTTCTTGCACTTCTGGTGTTTTGGATTCAGCAGGCCATGTTCGGGTTTCATTTGTAACTAAAAAGGCAGAAGTTAGATTGTAAATACCAGAGATACATCTGCTCTGCCTCTGTTTACATTTATTTCTACCCCCGCTGTAGTTTGCCAAAACAATCCAAAATGAACAAACACGTGAAATCAAATACCTTAGGAAACTGCTGAACTTGCTTTCACCACACACCCAATAACAACACGTGACTAGCTCTCTGAAACCTGCATTGTTTTAAAAATATTTTTTCTTAGTATCTGGTGTTCAAAACCTTGCAAGATTGGACACCTACTTACCCACAACAAAACAAATGCACAAAAAAAAAAAAAAGAGGCTTTGCTTGAATGTACATTCTCACACCAAAATACATTCTTCTGATGATGCTCACCAACCACATTAACTTAATATAGGAGATGTCTACTTACCCAATATTTTCTTTGGTGTTTCAGATATGCCCAGTGTCTCAGGTTTAGGGAGTTTCTGTTGTGGTGTTTCATTGAGACCTGGAATGATAAGGTGCACTACACATAAAGGTAAGCGAGCCATTCATTCAAAACATGGTGAGCTGTAATCTGCCCTCAGAGATGTCCATGCAATACCCTCTGAGCCACTGAGAACTGAGCATGACTGTCAGAGGGAAGAATTTAGCTCTGTTTTGTAAATGTCTAATCATTAATCCCATTTGCTGCTGCTCCTTCACCCCCTCTCCACCCCCTCCCCCACATTGCCACTGTTCTAGTATCATTGGCCACAGAAACCAATTACATGTTAGAGTATATAGACATGGTATATTCAGCATTGCAATACATGTATTCTAACTGGACATATCTTGATGACATGGCAGTCTTGTGATTAATGAGGATTTGTTTGTGTGTGGTTAGAATACTAAAGCTCACAGAACGAAAGTTAGGCCAAACAAATTTCATGCCGTGTAAGGTTCTTCCACACACCATTCCTGAGTTGAGTGGCATTACACTGGGGATAAATTTGTCTCCAGATATTTTAAGCAGAGTGGTTCCCAATCTTTTCAGACAAGAGTACCCATTTACTATAGTAAGTTGGTACCATCTAGTGCCTGCTACCTGTGTGCTCTAACCTGATACACAATTACCAAGTTCTACATCAGGCCAGACAACTGACGGGAATGAAGGAAGCTGTGATGCACTGGGGCTTAGTATAGGTCTCAGTAATACAGTGGAGTGGGGAAACGTAGTATACCATTCACAAAAGCCTGAAGTATCAGTACAGGTATATGTGCCGGTGGTTGGAAACCCGTGATCTTGTGCACACCTGGAGGGGGCCTAGCATATATTCACTTAACACCTCAAGATTATCTCTGCAAAATCACTTCTCTCCCTTCCCCTGCAATATGAAAGATCTGTTTTTGATAAAATAGTGGCAATAAGTCCTTTAAAATATTCTGACCATGGAATAGTCACTTTTATACTTCAGGTGCATCCTCCCCCTCACCACCATTATCATAAGATATAATAAAAAAAATCTGAACCAGTCTCAAGAAAGAAAGAACTAGAAAGGACAGGAAATGTAAAAGGATTTACACAGCTCTTTATCTATTGGCCAGAGAAGTAAGGAATGTCTTAGTCACCTAGTATTGCTCCTGGCAGGGAAGACCTGTCCGTGGTTTTAGGCAGCATCCGACGTGTGACATTTTGAATTACTGTGGAAACAGCAACAGTGCATTATCAGAGAAACTTACAAATTTTAAGTCAGGAAACAAAAAACACACACAAGAGGACTTTGAAAATTCTGAAAGCCTCTTTATTCAGTTTAGTATCTCAGAGATATCAGCTTCATATTTTCGTACATTATCTCAAACCTATCTAAGGGTTTGCAAGATGTCTCTTTTCTAAACCACCCCTAACTGCAAACCTTTCCCATACACTCAATGTCATTCTTCATGCCATCAACGTTAGATTGATTTTCTTTGTGAAAATTATGCTCTATACCAGGGGTTCTCAACCTTTTTCTTTCTGAGCCTCACCCCCCCAACATGCTATAAAAAATTCATGGCCAGCATTAGGGGGTAGCAAGCAGGGCAATTGCTTGGGGCTCCACGCCACAGGGGGCACCGTGAAGCTAAGTTGCTCAGGCTTCAGCCCCGCACGATGGGGTTTTGGCTTTCTGCCTTGGGCCCCAGTGAGTCTAACACTGGCCTTGCTTGACAGACCTCCTGAAAACTGCTTGCGCCCCTCCCCCCGAGGGGGCTCCAGACCCCAGGTTGAAAACTACTGCTGTATACTCAAGATATCACAGGACCAGTATCAGGAACTGCAGAACTTGGGGCTAATGAGATTTAGGGGAGCTTAAAAAATCCCTAGAAAGCGTCTGCTATTTAATGAGACACTACCATATTAACCGATAAGTCTGGCAGGAGACCACTACTATTTGTATGCTCCTACTCCCCTCCCATCACCCCTGCCATTCATGTGACCCTGAAGATACACTGGAACATGCCTAATAAATTTTAGGAGTGGTACTATTTTTAATAGGTAGAGCTGGGTGAATAATTCATAATTAATAATTTGAGACATTTCACTGCTTTTACCAGTTTTTTCTGTGAATAGTTCTAAATCTGTATCTCATTTGCTAGCAGTTTCTTGCAAGTATTCAATTTTCAAAGTTCTAGTTGCTTTAATTAAACAGTGCAGGTCTCATTGTATGTTTCTTTCACATGGCCAGATAAGGATAATTCTATGAATCAGGTTTTTGGTTCAAATACTCAATTACAAATTCAAAATTTGCTTGCTGCAATATTTGCTTAAAATTTATTGTTAACGCAATCATTCCTTGCAGTATCCCCATGCACTAGAATATTAATGGAGAAGGGGTTTCAACACAGCCAAAGTGAATTTAAACAAAACATTCAAATTAATATTTAGGGTTTTGGTTTTTGTTGTATTTAATTAGCAATGGTAATAGATATTTTTAACTCAGCATGAAAACAAATATTTATGGGAACACAATAAAAAATGCCACACTGGAATAATGTTCTTTGTAGTCCTATATCCTGTCTGACAGTAGCCAGTATCAGATGCTTCAGAGGAAGGTGTAAAATCATGCAATAGATACTCATACCATAGCATGTTTATGTGGGAAACTTCGTTCTTTACCTTGGATTCATTGACTGGTTTATATCCCGAAGAACTAGGTCTGATATCCCTATTTTATCTTGGCTGTTGTAACTGAATATTATGCTTTTACTATACAAACATCTAATCCTTTTTTAATCCCCCTTCTTATGTTTCATGTTGGGTGCATCATAAATATTAATTAATATGGACCTTTCAATATAAATTATTTACTTTAAAAGTTAAAAGTGGCCTAACAGCATACAAGCATCTTCTAAGAAAAACACATGAAATATCTGCAGTTAAAATAGTCTAGATAAAATGTGTAAGCAAAGACTGATCTTGTGCTTCAGGACATAAACTTCTGCCTGCACTGGCCAGCAGTTGAGGAGAATGCATGCTGCACACACCCCTTTATGAGTGTGTCAGCAGGTGTGGCTCATCTGCATGCTTGGGAGAACATTAAAAAGGTGCACCATTCACCATCGTTATTATTTGGATTACCACAGTGCCAAAGAGCCTAAGATATGGACCAGGACCCCAGTGTACTAGGGACTGTACAAACACAGAACAGACAGCCCCAAAGAGCTTACACTCTAAGAGTATGTCTATTCTTATGGTGGCATGTGGAGTACAGACACTGCATGCACAGCTAGTATGAGTATAAACAGCAGAGTAGATGGTGAGGCATGGCTTAGACAAGTGCCCTAAATGCCTGAATCACCAGGGTATGTACCCTACATTGGCTCTCTACAGGCCCAAGCAGTGCCTCCCACAATAGTGTCCTGCTGCCAGAACCTTTCCCCTCTGCTGGAGCCTTTCCCAGCTGCCAGAGGCCTTTCCTGCTGCAGCAAAAGGCTCCAGCAAAGAGGAAAGACTCTGGCAATGAGGAGGCAGGGGGAAAAAGGCTCTGGCAGCAGATACCTGCCAGAGCCATTACATGCTCCCTCCCTGCTGCTGAAGCCTTTCACTGAGGCATGTAGCTACACACACTAGCGACAAGTGTGAATGCAGCCTGCCTTTTACTATGGTGTGTGGCTACATGTGTAGTGCCTGTACTCTAAACACCACCGTATGTTTAGACATAGGCTATGTAACAATGTTTCCCGGAGCATGCTTGCTTACAAACCACATAAGAATGTATTACTGAGCTCCCACTACGGCAGTACAATTCCATATCATCCCAAACTCAAGCCATGTCTAACTGACAAGTTTGAACCCAGAGCAAGGACTTCATGTAATAAGTAAAATAAAGGGCGAAATCCTGACCACATGACATGCATATGTATTCTAGTGATCTGAATGCAGGAATGGGAGCCAAAAACTACTGTGCTCTAAACTTGGTTCTGATACTGACTTCTGTCTGTGGCCTTGGGCTTAAATTTCTCTGCTTAAATTTCACCCATCTGTAAAATGAGGAAAATACTACTAATCTCTCTCTTAAAATCATTGATGAAGATTCATCAGTTAATGGGCCCAATCCATCATTCTTATCACACTCAAAACTTCCACTGAGCTTAATGTGCTAGGAACACAGAATGAGGCTCCATGTTTATGAAGTGTTCTGAGGAGAGGATGGAAGAGGATAAAATATGGGTCAGACCAGACGAGAAACATTCATATAAAAAAGAATCTGACACACCAGAAAAGGGCAGACAAATAAACAGTGCCAAGTTTTTAAAGTGCTTGCACACAAATCCTAGAAATCTAAATAATAAGATGGGTGAACTAGAGTGCCTCGTGTTAAAGGAGGATATTGATATAATAGGCATCACAGAAACCCGGTGGAGTGGGGACAATCAATGGGACACAATCATTCCGGGGTACAAAATACACCTCTACCCCGATATAACGCAGCCTGATATAATATGAATTTGGATATAACGCAGTAAAGCAGCACTCTGGGGGGGGGGGCGCTGCGCACTCCGGCGGATCAAAGCAAGTTCGATATAACGCAGTTTCACCTATAACGCGGTAAGATTTTTTGGCTCCCAAGGACAGCGTTATATCGGGGTACAGGTGTACAGTATATCGAAAGGACAGAACAGGTTGTGCGGGGGGGGAGGGGGAGTGGCACTATATGTGAAAGAAAATGTAGAATCAAATGAAGTAAAAATCTTAAATTAATCCACATGTTCCACAGAATCTCTATGGATAGTAATTTCATGCTCTAATAAGAATATAACAGCAGGGATCTATTATCGGCCACCTGACCAGGACAGTGATAGTGATGATGAAATGCTAAGGGAGATTAGAGAGGCTATCAAAATAAAGAACTCAATAATAGTGGGGGATTTCAATTATCCCCATATTGATTGGGTACATGTCACCTCAGGACGAAATGCAGACACAAAATTTCTCGATACTTTAAATGACTGCTTCTTGGAGCCGCTGATACAGGAACCCACAATGGGAGAGGCAATTCTTGATTTAGTCCTGAGTGGAGCACAGGATCTGGTCCAAGAGGTCCTATAACAGGACCGCTTGGAAATAGTGACCATAATATAACAACAATTAACATTCCTGTGGTGGGAAGAACACCTCAACAGCCCAACACTGTGGCATTTAATTTCAGAAAGGGGAACTATGCAAAAATGAGGTGGTTAGTTAAACAGAAATTAAAAGGTACAGTGACTATAGTGAAATCCCTGCAAGCTGCATGGACACTTTTCAAAGACACCATAATAGAAGCCCAACTTAAATGTATACCCCCAAATTAAAAAACACAGTAAAAGAACTAAAAAAGAGCCACTGTGGCTTAACAACCATGTAAAAGAAGCAGTGAGAGATAAAAAGGCATCTTTTAAAAAGTGAAAGTCAAATCCTAGTGAGGTAAATAGAAAGGAGCATAAACACTGCCAAATTAAGTGTAAAAATGTAATAAGAAAAGCCAAAAAGGAGTTTGAAGAACAGCTAGCCAAAAACTCAAAAGGTAATAACAAAATGTTTTTTAAGTACGTCAGAAGCAGGAAGCCTGCTAAACAACCAGTGGGGCCCCTGGATGATCAAGATACAAAAGGAGCGCTTAAAGACAATAAAGTCATTGCAGAGAAACTAAATGAATTCTTTGCTTCAGTCTTCATGGCTGAGGATGTTAGGGAGATTCCCAAACCTAAGCCATCCTTTGTAAGTGACAAATCTGAGGAATTGTCACAGATTGAAATGTAATTAGAAGAGGTTTTGGAATTAATTGATAAACTTAACAGTAACAAGTCACCGGGACCAGATGGCATTCACCCAAGAGTTCTGAAAGAACTCAAATGTGAAATTGCGGAACTATTAACTATGGTTTGTAACCTGTCCTTTAAATTGGCTTCTGTTCCCAGTGACTGGAAGATAGCTAATGTAACGCCAATATTTAAAAAGGGCTCTAGAGGTGATCCTGGCAATTACAGACAGGTAAGTCTAACATCAATACCAGGCAAATTAGTTGAAACAATAGTAAAGAATAAAATTGTCAGACACATAGAAGAACATAAATTGTTGGGCAAAAGTCAACATGGTTTCTGTAAAGGGAAATCATGTCTTACTAATCTATTAGTGTACTTAGATTTCCAGAAAGCCTTTGACAAGGTCCCTCACCAAAGGCTCTTACGTAAATTAAGTTGTCATGGGATAAGAGGGAAGATCCTTTCATGGATTGAGAACTGGTTAAAAGACAGGGAACAAAGGGTAGGAATAAATGGTAAATTTTCAGACTGGAGAGGGGTAACTAGTGATGTTCCCCAAGGGTCAGTCCTAGGACCAATCCTATTCAACTTATTCATAAATGATCTGGAGAAAGGGGTAAACAGTGAGGTGGCAGTTTGCAGATGATACTAAACTGCTCAAGATAGTTAAGATCAAAGCAGACTGTGAAGAACTTCAAAAAGATCTCACAAAACTAAGTGATTGGGCAACAAAATGGCAAATGAGATTTAATGTGGATAAATGTAAAGTAATGCACATTGGAAAAAAATAACCCCAACTATAAATACAATATGATGGGGGCTAATTTAGCTACAACTAATCAGGAAAGAGATCTTGGAGTCATCGTGGATAGTTCTCTGAAGACGTCCATGCAGTGTGCAGCGGTGGTCAAAAAAGCAAACAGGATGTTAGGAATCATTCAAAAAGGGGATAGAGAATAAGACTGAGAATATATTATTGCCCTTTTATCAATCCATGGTAAGCCCACATCTTGAATACTGCGTACAGATGTGGTCTCCTCATCTCAAAAAAGATATACTGGCATTAGAAAAGGTTCAGCGAAGGGCAACTAAAATGATTAGGGGTTTGGAATGGATCTCATATGAGGAGAGATTAAAGAGGCTAAAACTTTTCAGCTTGGAAAAGAGGAGACTAAGGGGGGCTATGATAGCGGTATATAAAATCATAAGTGGTGTGGAGCAAGTGAATAAGGAAAAGTTATTTATTTGTTCCCATAATATAAGAGCTAGCGGCCACCAAATGAAATTAATGGGCAGCAGGTTTAAAACAAATAAAAGGAAGTTCGTCTTCACGTAGCGCACAGTCAACCTGTGGAACTCCTTGCCTAAGGAGGTTGTGAAGGCTAGGACTATAACAGGGTTTAAAAGAGAACTAGATAAATTCATGGAGGTTAAGTCCATTAATGGCTATTAGCCACGATGGGTAAGGAATGGTGTCCCTAGCCTCTGTTTGTCAGAGGGTGGAGATGGATGGCAGGAGAGAGATCACTTGATCATTACCTGTTAGGTTCACTCCCTCTGGGGCACCTGGCATTGGTCACTGTTGGTAGACAGGATACTGGGCCGCATGGACCTTTGGTCTGACCCAATATGGCCATTCTTATGTTCTTATGAAAATGAAAAGGGCCAAATGTCCTATGGCTGGTTTGTCAAAATAAACCTGAGATTTTTACTTAGTCCATGTGTTTCCCTCTTTATATATTGGTGTGTTTAACATTTCTCTGACTTGGGGAGCTCCTGGCTAAAATGCAAAGACAGTCATTTTCAGAACATATTAACTAAGCTCCTGTATTTCTGTTTCTATGGAAATTTGCATTTTCAAATTTCCAAGAGCTGGTCCCTTAAAGATATTTTTCACATGCTTCAAATCCCAATGTCTGGCGAGCATGTTGGTTTAAGTGTATTCACACATGATACTAATTAATTAAATAAATCACACCCGCTCCGCAGTCTACTCTATTTTATGGACACGTTGAATTTTTATTTCTCTGAATTAAAAAAAAAAGTGACATTATTTAAACATCTGGAAAACAAGTGCCAGAAGCCATCTCTGAAAACAACTTCTTCTCCAGGAACACATATTGGAAATATAAAAGATTTGGAAGAAGTCATTTGGAACATATTTATTTTTCTAAATCCTTCTCAACTTAGAAACCATACAGGTAAAGTTAAATATTTGTACTTACAGAAAACTAAATTTAACAAGAAATATTATTTTACATTTGTCATAGGCACGCCCTATACGGGGGTTTACTAATCTATAAAAGCCCAGATACCAAAAACTTCCCAGGGGAGCGGAGACACACTGACACAGTGATGAAGATCCATCACGTTGGAACATTTCAAAATCCCTGCAGGTGGCACCACTGAAAAGATAGCACAAATCTTTCTATTTAAATGTTCCATGTTAGGATTTCTCACAAGTCATCTCCGGACCCATGAACTTCCCAGGACATCAAGATGTATGAGATTTTTAATCACAGAAAGCCTTATATAACATAGGACTACTGGATAACAAAAATGGGGTTTCCAATTTTAAACTACACTATTTCAAAGTTGCAGAAATAAAATCAACTATGCAATAATTATGTTTTTTAAAAGTACAACTAAGGAGGGGGGGGGGAAATCTCTCCCCCATTTTTTCTAGAAATGCAGTTGTGCAACCTTAGCATTTTCTTGGTCAATACATTTCCACAGGCCAGTATTTCCTCTCTTCCACTTGAACTGTAGCTGGCTGTTGTTTATCAGTTTCTGCTGAGACTCTTCACTGAAGTGCTGATGGAAGACAGCACTGCCCATACCCAGATATGCTTTCATTTGCTACTTTCATTTCTTTCCTAAAAGCCTTCCCTCCACTTTTATTTTGGCCTAAAGCACACTGAAAGTATATACATTTTAAAAAAAAGTTTCTAAACATCCTCTGCTCTGGAGCTGGATGTTAAAAATATTTGTTGAGTTGTCCCCAACTCATTCTTAAATTTTAGGGAATACCTTTACTCATCTAAAACTCTAAAGAAGAACTCTGCCCGTTTCCCTCCCATACAGACAGTTCAGAAAAAGCTAACATCTGGGCTAATAACTTTTGTGTTTAGTGAATTGCTTGTTGAAGAAATATTCTGAAAATAGTCACAATTGTGCTTGCACTTGTACGTGAATAGTAAGCTAGGGCTGGATAAAGTCAAGCTTCTTCATAACAGTAGAAACATAATATCAACATTGACCCAACCTTGGTTATTTCTTCTATGGCTCTGTATCTGTAACATTGCCCTTCTAAGCCTCCAGCAGTGCACAGGGCAGAGAATATGGATGAGTGTATATGACACACTGACTGGATTTTACTACAGCACTATGCAAGAAAACAGAATACAAAAGGCATGCAAATTTTTCTGTGATCCACACTGACAACACATTAGGGGCCTCGAGGCTGCACCTAACTTGTAGAGTGTCGCCTACAATGTGCAGTGACTACAGGCTCTAGCATACAATGCTCATATTTAACTAACTAAAGGCTATTTAGATGAAAATGGGGCATTGATCACTGGAACCTGCTGTCTCCAAGGGCTAGAACTCTAGATTCCATATGAGGGAGGCTACAGACCACATTTTAGAACATCATGGTCTGCAGTTGGATTCATGAATGGCATGTTATCTGCCGGAGTACACTATATACACAGTAGCAAAGAGTAGTCATATTGGCATGGATGCCTGGAGGGAAGGGGATTTGCAGTTTGAATAGAGCACACAGATTATATCCAGCTCAACAAATTCTGCATTGTAAGATTTAAAGTAACCTTCAGAAAAGTAAAGCCTTAGCAATATCTAATTTTCAAAACACACAGAAGATGCCTATATAAAGGAAGGAAAGAAAGCCTGAAGGAGGGCAGCAAATGGAGAAAACCCAAGACTAGGTACTGAGGGATGGAATACAATTTGAAGCTTATGAAGAACTGATCAGTGCATGATTCTATACTGTAAATATTTCACTGTATAGTACAAATTTAATTCAAGTCACATATTGCTTCTTTTCATACCTGGCAGCTAGGGGATGCCAGGCAGAGAGAATGACAAACCTGGATATCTTTATCAGTATGTTTCACATAGTAACCTTAAAGATAGACACTAGCAGAAACTAGAATTGGTAGCTACTCAGCAAATGATTCAATGAAGTAGTTGTGTATGATGCAGCAAAATAGCACAGTTTAAAAATGAAGACCGAACATAGTTTAATTACTTTTGTAATAAAAATTCACAATTTTGATTGTGAAGTTCCATTGATTTTGGTTACAAGGAAAGTTTCACTAGACTCTGCATATATTAATCATAGTAAATGTATTCTGTTTTTCATTGATTTTATACTTTTTTTGTGAGATATCTGTGTTCAAGGGGGAGAAAAACATGAAAAAAACACACGTTACCTTCTTTGATTCTTGTAATAGGGACAAGTTTTGCAGCATCTCGTAGTATGACCTATGAAGAGAAAAAAAAAGATATAAGCGTTAGGATCTGTGCCATAATAGTAATTGTATTTTTCTTTGTAATGAAAATATAAGGCTTCAATCCAGTGCCTCATTTGTCCCAAGTTAACAACAGACATGGCTCCGGCCCCAATCACTGAAGGTTACACTTCATTTTTGTTGGCGAGAACTGTTATAAAGCATTTTGATCCCTTTAATTTGGCTACAGCCAGTTGTTTTGCTCCATTAATACAGAAAGTCTTACTGCTAAGGAATCCTCTAATCTTTGTTCTCTTTGAGACGAATCTCTCCAGCTTAAGAACCAGAGAAACCTTGACAATGAAACTGTGCAAAGTAATAACAATGAAACCTCCAAAACAACAATAATCACCCAGTTGTGTATTTTGTTACTAACTTTCAGCTCAGATCAAGGTTACTGAAATGTTCACAAACCATTCTCATAAACCAGGACGATTTTATGGTTTTTAAATCCAGATCAGATGTTCACTTCTCATCGAATGTAAAGTATGGAGGTAAAAGGTATTTGATGTGGGTAAGCATCTGTGGGCTTTATCAATGGCATCACCTTAATTTCGACAACTGATTTTTCAGGGTGATAATAGGCCAGTCACAAGGGGGTTCCAAATTGAAAGGAATGTATATGCTTTTTATATTTGTATTGCAAATATTTTTTGCCTTACACTGGTCTTTGATCCAGAAAGGTTTCCATCCACATACTAATCCTTTACAGATTTTTGAGCACCATGGAAATAAGCATCTTTAGCATGTGAATTGGCCCTGCATTTCTCAGAATGGAGAAAATTGCAGATCTCTATGACATAAGTAAGCCCTGACCGTCCTTTGGCTCATGCAGGTACGGGAGCCAACATTTCAATAGTACAATGACTGGAAAGGGACCAGACAGAAGTACTGCCAGATATATACATATACTAACTGTAGCTATAAAATATAATCCTCTTTCAGTGAAGTCTGAGTTTAAAGGAGGAATAGAACTCAGTATACAAATACCTCTTTTGGCTAAACATATAGCATATAAAGTCCTGTTTCCAGATGAGTGGGGATCAGTTAATGCTACTGGTTTATTCTGTACTTCATAATATGTTATGTAAAAATAAACTGTACTGCACTGTACAGAAAACAAATCTAATTAAACAGATTGCACAGTTTTATCTGCTGATTTTAATTAGAGAAATATATTGTATGTTCATTCCTTTTAAAAACACAAAACAGTTTTTAAAAAAAACACAGCTGAGTAGCTTCCTGACTCAACAATATAAAGAAAAAATACTGCTAGTAGTAGTAGTAGTAAGTATATATATTTTTGTATTGTTTAGTATATACAGTATGGTATAGCACAGGGGTCGGCAACGTTCGGCATGTGACTCGCCAGGGTGCTTACCCTGGCGAGCCACATGCCAAACGTTGCCAACCCCTGGTATAGCATCTTACCTACTGCAAACATTTTCAAGTATTTTTCTTTGGTGCAAATCATGTTTGGGAATAGTTCAGTTTAAGCAGTAGATATAGGGCCAGACTCACCTAGCATTTATGCATTTTTTTCCTGTTTAAGCTAATGGAGACCTCAGTTTGCGAATAAATCCATCTGGGGACAAGGCTGCAGCAGAGCAGTGTGGCTACAACTTCGTCTATATGCCAGGGAAGAAAGAATCCCCCAAAATGGGTAGAGCTGGTTGGAAATGGGCTGTGGCCAGAGCTACTGAGAATGCTGATTCAGAGTGTCACTTGATTGTGTTGAGCCTCCCTCCTGTCACACGGTTTCAGCTGTTACCATGAGAAGTGTGATTTATACCTCCCCTGTACCAAGTTTTCTAAATCAGGCCCATAGCTGGGATGAAAACCTGCCTAATCAATTAAATGTAAAAGTATTTTCATAACCTCTGGAAGAAAGGGAACAATGATTCCTTTGGCCTTATTTATTACTTCTTTACAAAAATGACTTGAGCCTTTCCTTTATCTGCAACAAATTCTATCTGCGCTTCTGGGTAGAACATTGCTCTCACTGTACATAATAAGCAAGAGACTGAATCAGATTATATGCCCCAATAGAAAACAAATATCATTGCTAAAAGTAACATTAACCTTTATGGTAATGACTGACTTCATATTTACATTCTCAACATCAACATACTTTGGTTGTGCAGTGTGGCAAGGCGACGACTCACCACTGCGACGCCTCCTGCTGGTCATCCTGGGAATTAGCTCTTCCAGCCCAGAGCGCTGTCTGCAGGCCGGTGTCTTGCCTGCCGCTGGCCCCCGTGTCCCTCCTGGACCCCGGTACCCTTCTAGACCAGGATTCTGCCCCCAGCAGTAACCCCCAATCTGGGTCTCCCCACCAGGGGGAGCCCCCAACCTTCTGTCCTCACCTTGCCTCAGTGGCTACTGCCAGTCACTATCTAGTGACTCACTGGCGCAGACGGCAGTCTATAAACCACTCATCACTGGCAAGGGGGGTTTGGACCAGCTGCCTCTGCCTGTCTATGGGCTGCCCCTCTGCAGTCCCAGTACCCTTTTGTGGGCCCTTAACGCGGCCTGCAGCCTGGGGTTTTACTAGGCTGGAGCTCCCCAGCTCCCTCTGCCCTTCCCCAGCACTGCTCCACCCTAGGTACCCTGCTCAGCTTCCCAGGCAGCCACGTCCTTCTCTCTCTCAGGAGCTAGAGAGAAAGTGTTCTCGGTCTCTGGCCCTCAGCCCTCTTATAGGGCTAGCTGTGGCCTGATTGGGGTGTGGCCGCACCTGTAGCTGGTTCCCCCAATCAGCCTAGCTTTTCCCAGCTGCAGCCCTCTCCAGGGCTGCTTTTAACCCCTTCAGGGCCGGAGCGGGGTAATCACACCACTACATGCAGCCAACCAGATTCTACTGAATCTGTAGGATACACGTCTTTAGGCATGATGTTGAGAAGATAAAAGAACCAGAGATCATAGATTTGGAGCTATTCAGGGGACCTTTAATTCGATCTCATTATAGATTGACCACATGCATGCAGAGAACATGAAAAAGAGATTCAAACTATAATGTATAGGAGACTTTCCAAGTCAAGTGAAGTGAAGAAAAGTGTTGTTGCATGAAGTTAGATTCCCACTAGAAGGGAGTATGAGTGATGTGCCATTATATTGGCAATTCAAGCCACAGGTTTAAAGTGCACATTACGAAGTCTTTAAATGGAGAGATTTAAACACTAGAAAAATATACTGGGAGGCTTTAAAGCAAGAGGTTCTGCAGGGTTCTATCTTGTCACTATTACCACTCAGTGTGTTTGTATCTTTGCTGTGGGAGAAAGCATGATATTTTGGCCTGCTTTGTCACCAGTACATTCAGATCTCCAGCTTCGTGTTGTTAAATCTAGATGCTGCATTCTCTGTGTTTTCAAAGTGCCTCACAGCTTAGAAAGTAGATGGAAGTAAACTAGCTTAGGAAGTAGATAAGATGGAAATGGTGCGTATAGGCAGCGGGGATCATCTGGAAATCTTATGGAGAAAATTATGATTTAATTGGCATTTTAGAGACTTGGTGGGACAACTCTCATGATTGGAGTACCAGCATTGAGGGATATAGCTTATTCTGAAAGTATAGATATGGCAAAAAAGGAGGAAGTGTTGCGCTGTATGTCAACAATGTATTCACTTTCACCGAGGTCCAAAGGGGAAGTGAGCGACAGACCTGCTGAGAGTCTCTGGGTGTGGATAACAAGGGAAAAGAACAATAGCAATGTTATGGTGGGGATCTATTATTGACCACCAATTCAGGAAGAGGAAATGGATGAGTCATTCTACAAGGAGGTAACAAGATTAGCTAACACACGAGCTAGTATTAATGAGGGATTTTAACTTCCCTGATATCAGTTGGAAGACTACTGCAGCAAAACATAATATGTCCTGCAAATTCTTAGCGTGAGTAGGAGATAAATTTTCTGATTCATAAAGTTAAGGAAACAATTAGAAGGTCATCCATTTTGGATCTAGTTTTGACCAATAGCAGGGCCGGCTCCAGGCACCAGCGGAGGAAGCACGTGCCTTGGGCAGCACATGCTAAGGGGCAGCATTCCGTCCATTCTTGGGGCGGCACAGTCCGGCCGGCTTTTTTTTTTTTTTTTTTTTGCTTGGGGAGGCAAAAATGGTAGAGGCAGCCCTGCCAATAGGGATGAATTAATTGTGAATGTGAAGGTGGTCAGGACTTGGGAGGAAGTGATCATGATCTGACAGAATTCAAGCTCCTATGGAAATGAGGACATGAGAACAGCAAAACAAGGACACTAGGCTTCAGAAAGGCAGATTTCAACTGACTCAGAGAAATACAAGACAAAGTCCCATTGAAAGACCTATTAGGAAGAAAAGGAGTCAAAGGGGGTTGGCAGTTCTTAAAAGATGTAATACTAGAAGCTCAACATCAAGCTATTCTGACACAGAGGAAAGATAAGAAGAGCCACAGGAGTCCAATGTGGCTGCACAAGGAGCTTTTTAGCGATCTAAAAACCAAAAGGGATACATACAGGAAATGGAAGGAGGGGCATGTCACCAAGTAAGTATATATGGGAATAGCGCAAACATATAGGGACAAAATCAGGAAACCCAAGGCAAAGAATGAGTTACATCTGGCAAAAAACGTTCGCGAGAACAAGAAGGGGTTTTTCAAATATGGTCAGACAAAAATAGAAATATCAAGAATGGTGTGGGTCCACTGCTCAATGGAGAAGGTAAGCTGGTAACGGAAGATGATAGGCTCAATGCCTACTTTGCTTCAGTCTTCTCATAAAAGATAACATCTGACTGGACGACAAGCAAAGTTACCATAGATAATAAAGGGGAAGGGATGCAGATTGGAATAAGTAAAGAACATGTCAAAGATCTTCTGACCAATGTGAATGAATTCAAATCAGCAGGGCTGGATGCTATTCACCTGAGGTTACTGATGGAATTAGCTGAAGAAATCTCAGAGCCACTGGCAATAATATTTACAAACTCATGGATGACAGGAGA